GCAAAGTTGCAGGAAAGAGGATAAAATCCGAGCAAACACGTTCAGTGTGAGTGTTTTTGCTAGCATGAACGTTCAGTATGAACGTGGATTTTCATCTGCCACAGATTTTACAATCATTAGGTTAAGACGCTGTCCACCAGAAGTTGGCCACGGGATGCCCTTTAAATTGATTTATTGATTATTAAATAAATATGCTATAGTATCTTCAGTGTAGTATCTTCACTACAGTATCTTCACCTCTAGAATGCTTTTAAAGTCCTGTGCCCTCCATCGGTATAACTATTGTTCCAAGCACGTTCATGAACGTAAGTTTATTCAGATATACACAGTTACATAGATTATCATACATAGCAGCATATGTGCAGAGAACCCAAAAAAGTCAGTGACTTTTTTTTTTTTTTATTATTATTATTATTCACCGGTATTCTCCCGGCCCGGATCTTTTCCAAGTAGTAGTGACCCGGCCTTGGCTCCCTATCTGGGGAGTATCTCGAGACCTAAGTCTCCCATGGGAGGAGGTACAAGTACCTCCTCATCTTTGGGACCAACTGTCCCCAGGCCTAGCCACATTCCCCGCCCTCACGGGGCTCGTAGGTAGAAGCTAGGCCTCTGGTCTGCCATCTGCCCCGCCCCAAAGGGACTCGTGGGGATGGCAGTCGTATGAGCTACAGGTGGTAACATGCTCAGGCCTATCTCCTCCGACTTCCATTGGGGTCCTTGTGTGAGAACTACCAAGCACTGTAATGAACTCCCTCAAGTGACTATGCTATATAGCATTAATCTCGCTAGTTTTTCGATACAGAGGTTGATCAAATAGTATTAATGTTTCTACCTTCTTATTATTATTTAAATTAATGAACTGAGTTAATATTAAGTAAAGTTTAAGTCAAGTTTTGCCCAAGATACTATATATTCTTTGCTCCTTCAGTTTATTACATGTTCTGTACAGCAATACTGAGATTTAGATTAGTATCTGCATTCATAATAACTTCGTGTTATAGCGAATTGTTGTTAAATTTACCAACAAATTCTTCTTGCAAAATTTCCAGTAGTAGACATAAGACAAGTAGTCATAAGTTCGTTTTAAAACCGCCCGAAATACTCTGTGTAACCAGGGGCTTTCTATAAAGCATCTCAGTAATGCCACTTTTTCCGAATCAACTGCAAAGCATTTGTAGAAATAGTTTATCATTAGGGGTTCTGGTGGCTAAAGCTCTTGTTTCACACGGCGAGTGTCTGGGTTCGATTCCCAGTCAAGGTAGAAACATCGGGCGTGTTTCTTTACACCTGTTGTCTATGTTCACCCATCACTAAGTATGCCCGAAATGCCTAGCCATGCTAAGCGTTCTAGTGGTACACTCTGTAATCACAATTTTACTACATGTAAACCAAACAATAACCAAATTTCTGTAAACTCAGCATTGTAATCCTTATAGAGAATAAACTTTGAATCAGTAGAATGTGTACCTGGGCGTTACTCGACTGGTGTGGGTCGCATCTTGGGACATTGACCTAATTTGCCCGAAATGCTTAGCATAACAAGAGGCTTTCCATATAGTAGTATGTTATTGATGTCAGCTATGGTCTGTATACTTTGTACTTGTAATAAATATAGTATTATTTATGGTGGCCTGGTGGCTAAAGCTCCCGCTTCACACACGGAGGGCCCGGGTTCGATTCCCGGCGGGTGGAAACATTTCGACACGTTTCCTTACACCTGTTGTCCTGTTCACCTAGCAGCAAATAGGTACCTGGGTGTTAGTCGACTGGTGTGGGTCGCATCCTGGGGGACAAGATTAAGGACCCCAATGGAAATAAGTTAGACAGTCCTCGATGACGCACTGACTTTCTTCGATTATCCTGGGTGGCTAACCCCCCGGGGTTAAAAATCCGAACGAAATCTAATCTTATCTTAGCGTGTAAGAAACTAAATTAGTTTACCCTCGAGAAACTTTGTTACATTGCTCTGAGTGAGAGAGAACTTTCTCAGTAGCCTGGCATGGATAACCATAATAGTGGTTTTAAAAGACACGTACACAAACACATGAGAAAACGTTTTGGTTCTGGGACCTTCGTCATTCTAACATATAAAGGTCGGAAATAATAATATATATAAGTTGGAAGTAAGATTAGAACATCATTTAGTGGCTTGAATATTGCAACAGAGGCTTTTTTGAGATGAGGTCAGATTATTATTATTATTATTATTATTATTATTATTATTATTATTATTATTGTCTGTATATGTGCTTGTAGAAATAATCAGACAATAGCTGACATCAGTGACAAACTATTTAGAAAGCCCCTTGTTATGCAGAGCGTTTCGGGTAAATTAGGTCAATTTTGTCCCCAGGATGCGACCCACGCCAGTCGAGTAACACCCAGGTACCTATTTTACTGATAGATGAAGATGGACAGCAGGTGTCATAGGGAAACATGTAGGTGGATCCTTCAGGAAATGTTGGATTATTCTTATATTTCATTTCTAAAACTTACAAGATTTACTAAATTGATTATAATTCCTTAAACTCTCGCAGGAAATAGATGATTATTAGGTATCTCAGACAGATGACCAACAAGTTGGGTGCCAGAATTTCTTTATCTTCCTTCAACTATTCACTTTGAGTTCATATAAGGAATATGCCCCATTTAATGCACTTTAACTTTGTAACGCTTTTGTGCTGTATAGATGGAAAGATAACTGGATTAATTGGCACATGCAGGTGTCCTATGACCGAAATTGTAGGACCCATTCCTGGCATCCTGCAATGGCTAGGTTAACTTCCAAAACCCTGTATTGCATATCTTCAAATATTTAAGAAAGGTGCCTTTTAATTCGAAGATGGAGAGTTAAATTCAAGTGAGAAAGTGAATGGCAGGTAATTTCATGCGTGAAAATTTTGTTTCCCATTTAATTACAGTAAAAATATTTGTCTACCTCTTCTAAATAGCTTAAATATTTAATGGCTGATGCAGCTTAAGGTTACCTTGTGTGAGGACAAATCTGACAATGTAATAAATTAGTTTATATAAACTGGATTTGCTAGAATTTAATATAAAGATTCTTCTTATTGGCTTCAGAAAGGAAGCTGCTATGTTTACCAGAAGCATGGATGGTACTATCCCTACGGTCTTAGCGCTCCCCCATGATTATGATAGAGTTTATTGGATGCTGCTAATTATTTTATGATTACAACATAGCATCACCTGATTTCTGAAGACTAGTGTGGTTGCAGGAGTCAAGTCTCGGCTCCTGGCTCCGCTTTTCTGCTGGCTGTAACTAGGTTCATTCTCTCCTGGGTTCGAGAGCCTTATTGTACCTCTTCTTAAGTTTATATATGGATTCTACTTCGGCCACTTCATTCTCCAGTTTGTTCCACTTCTTGACTACTCTGAGGCTTAAGAAACACTTCCTAACATCCCTATAACTCATCGGAGTAGGTGGGTTGTTGGGTGTTGGTTTGGGTAGGGGGACGAGTGTGTTGTGTGTGTGTGTGTGTGTGTGTGATGCTCATGGGTACAGTGCCTGAATGTACTGTGGCCTTGGAGGAATGTTAACAGCAGTGTTCCCAGATATATTGAAGTTTCTGTGTAACGTCTGAAATTTTGCCAGTCATCCTGAATCGCCAATTTGTGTGTGTGTGTGTGTGTGTGTGTGTGTGTGTGTGTGTGTGTGTGTGTGTGTGTGTGTGTGTGCGTGTGTGTGCGCGCGTGTGCGCGAAATTTCACGATATATACAAAAATTTCGACATAACCCATGCCAAATATTTTCTAAAAATTAGACGTAAAAGTTAAGTGACTTCACTATGATCACATAATGTCACTTTCTGGACAGGTATAAACTTTGGTAATAGATACCGACAAACTGATTTATAAAACACCTGAGTAAACACTAGGTCATATTAGAAAACGTTTCGGTCTTGGGACCTTGATCAAGGTCCAAGGACAGAAATCTTTTCTAATAAATATGTCCTAGTGTTTGCTCCCATGATTTTTAAACCACTTTCTCGACTATCACTATGCAATTTGTATTAAATATATCAAGAGTGTTTATACACGTTCCTTCACTATTAAAATTAAAGTGTGGTGCACAGTGGCAGTCCCGTCAACAGTTCTTGGTGCCTTGACTTGGCCGGGAGAGTCTACTCAACTACTGTCACCAGTGTTCCTGGCCGGGAGGGTCTACTCAGCTACTGTCACCAGTGTTCCATGACTAAGGCCTACAGGCCTTGGTAATGACCCGTGTTACTTGCCATGAGGTGTTCTATGCAACCAGTCAGTTAACGCCACCGTCTACATTGACCAGCACACACAACGACCAGTGTTAAGCGAGTGATAAGTATAACATTAAGTAAGACATGTGGTAGATAACTATATAATTACCCACAAGTAGTCTTGCTGCATACGTTTTTTGGCACCATTAGTTTGCACCATAACTCTTTTCAGTGCTCCTGGACAATAAAATGAAATTTTTGTTTGTTTTTCAATGTATCTGAGAGACAATTATACTAATACGGAATGGTACTCTCAACACTTATTAATATTAAGCAGGAATATGTGCGATCGTGAGAATATGAGCCAAACTTCAAAGGATGGCTGAAGTATAGCTCCAAAAGGACGCTGTTTGGATATTGTATTGTATTTCTGGTTGCGCTGGAAAAAATTGAGACATTGAAGAAAACACCCAAAACTGTTGCATTGAAAATACAATCTTCCGTGATTAACACACCTCATGTACGTGATTAACACATCTTCTGTACGTGGCAGAAGAAAAGGGATGCAAGTCCTAAAGCAAAATTACATTAGACTGACAGCTTATCTGTGAGCCTCTGCAACATTCAAACACAACAGTGGACACTGTTTTTCCACTATAAATTGCATGAAAACAAAATTAAGGAGTAAACTCTCATCATGTAATAAGTAAAATGTTTCGCATCAAGAGTCATGACTGAGAAGTGTTATATTTAGAGTAACTAGAGAAATGCTAAGCAGAATGAACACTGAAATGTATGAAAAAGAATGCATTGAGGTACAGCCTACTGTATGCTATAAAACAAATTGTATTTTATCATACGTTGTCATTGTCACCCTTCTCATGTGTCAACATTATTGTACAAGGTGAAATGTGTAATTTACAGTAAAACTTGTTTAAATAATATTTTATTAACAGTAAAATTGTTCAAATATGTCTGTAATGCAAATCAAATTTTTACGTCGAATTATACCCAGTTAATGGCGTTAGTATCTGGTAATACTGATCAGCTGTGTTGTTCCGGGTGTGTTGGAAGCAAACCAACAGTAAGTCAATCAGCAAGTAAGTGCAATACTTTTGTGTACCCTGAGTTTACTTTTCGTTTAGTGCCTCTGTAAATATTGATATTGTCAGGAGAAACTCGGTATCGATGTTGTGTAAGTATACCACGAACAAAAATAGTCCCAAGACTGATACTTAAGGTACAAATAACATACTACGTTTCAGGATATTGAGGTACGTCATATTTTTACACCTTTGTTTTTATCCTATCGTTATATTTGTATATAAATTATAATCTAAAAATGTTTAACAAAGAAATTTTAAAGTTGTCAAATATTTTTAACACTTTGTTAAAAATATTTGACAACTGATAAAGCTCTAAATGTTATGGTGTTGGATTTCAAATTATTCTTTGAGTGATTATCTGATATGATTATTTGTAGTTTAATAACAACCAACCCCAGAACCAGAGGTTGCTCACTCTGGTAGACGTGTTGCCCGTCTTAATAGGTCTTGCAAATAAATCCCAAGCCAGTTCACTTACATGTCCCACCTATTTTTAATGCTAACTGATCGTTTCAGCTACATTACTTGCCAGTGTTCCACTCATCTACAACTTTCTATTATCTTATCTTATCGTTTAAGTTGTAATGATGGTGGTAGTGATGGTGGGTTATGATTTGTGATTGTAATTGTGGTGTCAGTGGCTGTGGAAGTTGTTTTTTGATGAATTTCGTTGTCAATGTGGTGGTTGTGGTAAGAAGTGTGATTGTGGTGGTTTGTTAGTAAGATACAATAATGTTGACTATTGTCAGGTGCATCATGTCAGTAACTGCCAGCGGCCACAAGTGCATTCGGGAGGAAACAATATTTAAGCTGGAGGAGGACTGGCTGGGCTACCGGAATGGCGTCGTCCGACTTACCCCCGGCAGGTGGCTCTACCCGACGGCATACACGAAATTTGCTGATAAATATTTCAACTTAAAGGTAAAAATGCAGATTGTCCAGAGGTACAATAACAGTTACCCCCCCCCCCATCAAATCTGTCAAGATTAATACTTTAAACAACACTTGCTAAGTCTTTTTTCTTTTGCATTGCAAAAACTTTTTTTTTTCAATTTTAAAAATTTTAAATTGCAAAATCTTATTTAATAAGAATCATATCAAGACATATGGAAACAACTCATTATAGAACATATTTGGAACTAAACACAAACCTTGATAAAATGTTGTAGAAGACGATCATCAACGAGTCCAGAGACTCAATTCCAAAGTTTTGATACCTAAGCAGGTTAGTGGTAATGAATAATTTACTTGCTTATATCTGGCTATAATCATGAGTTATTTAAGCAGACATGAATTAGGTCACAAAAATATTAATGCAGCTTATATTTGGTTTTGAATTATTTATATTTCTTTATTTTTTAACAAGATTTGCTTGAATTTAAGCAAGTTAGTGTTTATGGTTTATTTATAATAGGCAAAGTCGAAGTATTTTCCAGAATGGTTGGTAATACCTACTGTGAATAAAATATTCTGACATTTTTGGAACATTCGTGAGCGAGTTCTGTCAATTCGTTAATTCTGTAGCATTCCAGCACGTAATGACGCACGGTACGATATTAGTACATCTGGCAAAGTTATATAGTTATGTCTGCATCAGTTGGGGATGCAACCTCCCAGAGATACTTTGTAGCCCAACCGGTGCCTGGCAGTTGTGACATCCAAGAGTCTGCTGATTGTGTTGGATTAATTATAAACAAGTGACTTATCCTGCCACCTGTAGTAGTGTCTTCTAAGTACTAGTTGACAATCCAATAGTATTGTAATCCGCTCCCTCCTTGAAGGCATGTTCCACTGCAGTGGATCAGGAGACCGATTGTGTTACCGTGGTCTTACGAATATGCCGGAGATCTGTGAGAAAGTTCTCAAGTCATGAAGAGGTTAACAACACTATCACCTGCAGCATCCGGTTGACCAACAATGAGACTTGTCCTGGTTATGCGGATCCAATGGCAACCAAAAGCGTCACGATGGAATTACCTAGTAAGTCTGGGCAGAGGGCAACTAGGCGGCGTGGGACCACACATGTGCCTCCACAAGGCCTTATACCTGCCGAATACAGCAAGCTATAATTTGTGTATGCAATAATTTTGCAAAAATCATTCTGGACCTAACGAAAAAAAATATATATATTTCATTGTTTGTTTTTATTATTCAAATATTTCGGTATTTTCTAAGGCCAGTGTTTCTCAAACATTTCTTTCATCAGTTCAAGCAGAGCGACGTGGTGGTGAATTCGTGGCCCAAGTGCGGCACGACGTGGGTGCAGGAGATTGTGTGGACGATGAAGAACAATCCAGACCTGAACCATCCCTTGACAGCCTTGTCCATCTTTAATCGATCTCCCTTTCTCGAGTAAGCATTTATCCACAAGCTTTCTGGTTTACCTTTGGCTTGACTGTCATGCAGCTGAACACACTCACACATTTTAAACAGCTGAATAATTACTTAGGAACTTTCGGCAGATATGACCTGTTTCTTGATGCCCACGAGCTAGCATATTCAGCACACAATTCCCTGATACCGGGTTTCAAGGCTCTGTGTCCTGGGAAGAACCCAGCGGATGGGATTACTCTGCAGATGACAGAGTTCTTCCCTGACCCTCGCATCATCAAGACCCACATCCCTTTGTCTCTCTTCAGTCCTTGTCTCCTTGACACATCTAAGGTATTTTAATAATCAATAAAACAATTAGCTGTTTTAGTGAAGTGAAGAATTATTGAAGAATAGATCATTTTTTCTCGTCTCTAGTATTAAGCCGAGCGCCAATAGCAAAAAATTTTTTTCATAATTTATATAGTATTATTAATGGGAAGAGAGCAGTTAAGGTGTCATCGTACACTAAATTAAGACAGTTTTGAAAGCGCACAGAAAATTAGAAATTTATTAGACGGTTGGTTGTAAGGCACAAAAGTCTTTAAAAATATAACAGTGACGCATTGGTCATTCAGGAAATCGTAATGACGCGATTGCAAACAAGCCACGGCACTTGTTCACTACTGGAGTACATGGTCATCCATCTTTACTTGTTCACTACCGGAGTACATGGTCATCCATCTTCACTTGTTCACTACCGGAGTACATGGTCATCCATCTTCACTTGTTCACTACCGGAGTACATGGTCATCCATCTTCACTTGTTCACTACCGGAGTACATGGTCATCCATCTTCACTTGTTCAGTACTAGAGCACAAGCAGATATTCTCGCACTGTAGTTATAAATCATTTAGTTCCTTGCTATATTACCGACTTTCATAATGATGCTGTATCATAATATGATACAGCAGCATGTGAAAATAGTTCCCAGATCTATAGAACTGTGTAGTGAATTTCGTAGCATGGGAAATTATCACATACAAATAAAGATTCGTTCCTCAGGTGGTGTACGTTACCAGGAATCCCAAGGACGTGCTGGTTTCCTACTATCACCATTCTCGAATTTTTAATCTGCATGGCTATGTGGGCTCCGAAGAATTTGTCCAATACTTCGTGGACGACAACTGTAAGTTAAATGTGGGTTGTACCACTATGGGGTGTCAGACACTTGTATTTTTATACGGAGACGTAAAAAATATATATAAAACCTGCCGCTCTCTACGTTTAGTAAGTTTGCTGGGGTCGATTAAGGATGTTACCTTGAGTCGGCGGAAGCAAAGTCTGACTGGAAAACCTTCACTGGAAAACTGCTTGTATATCCTCAGTGAAGATTCGAAGGTGAGCTGCTGCCTGTACTCTAGCTATGTGAAGAGATTCAGTCATCTTTAGCCACACACTGTAATTAGCAATTTTTTAATGGAAGTATTGGAGGTCCGGGCATTTGTAATTACATACTGGCTTTATTATTTTACGTACCTGGTTTAGAAAGGTATACTGCTTCTACAGTGCTCCTTAAGTGGGAGTGACTTGGACTTTCCTATCATAAGCCAGTAGGCTTGCTGCAGTACTCCCTCTTGTGTTCTTATGATTTTATGTAATCTTGATTTTCTTTCACCAGTGATTTACTCTCCTTACTGGATGCACGTGAAGGAGGCCTGGGAGAAGCGACACCACCCCAACTAGCACTTCATGTTTTACGAGGACATGAAGGCCGACATAATGAGCGATCTGAAGAAGCTCTGCACTTTCCTGGACGTCAAACTGATGACCAACTACATAACATAGCGAAACATACAAGTTTCAAAGAGATGAAAGCTAGGGATGCTTATGGAATTGAAAACGATGATGCAGTAATCTTTAATGTAGACGTCACCAGAAGCGATGGAGGCTTCTTCAGGAAAGGTATGTACACTTGCACACACACGTGAATGTTACACAAACACACACGACAGTGGGTATAGACACACAAACACACAGCCCGCACCAACCCTTCCCACCCCCAGAATGCAGAACTGCAAAAGAAGCTAAAGGTATGGTACAACAACGCAGATGGAGTAACAAATAAGTGAGGAGCGGCAAGAATGAATCACGGAGGCATCCCCAGATATCATAGCACTCACAAAGTTCAGGGGATAAGAGATCTGTTGTTAGGTAAGACACACATGCAACAGATAAGAGATCTGTTCTTCCCGATTGCATATCAGATCCGGGGGACAAAAGAGTTTTGAGATGGGAGAAATACAGAGGAGAAACAGATGACTACATAGTAGGAACACTTTAGACTGGGGGTCAGAAGTGCTCCTCCAGCCCTTAAGGTTGTCAGGAAGTGTAACAATCTGGTGCGTGAAATAGTTGAGGCAGAATCCATATATAACTTTAAGAAGGGGTACGATAATGCTCTTGAAGCAGGGAGAGTCGACCTAGTAGCGACTAACGAAGAAGCGGTGCCAGGAGCTATGACTCGATCCCTGTAACCACATATAGGTGAGTAGGTGAGTACATGTATTCAGTGTTGATTCACTTGTTACTTGGCATTCTCATTAATTTAACAAAGAAAGTTTCTCATTTTTCCTTAGTCTGTAATTTGCACATTACAGCATCACCAACAAATGACACAAAAAATTTATATGCTGATATTTAGTCCAGATTTGCACAAAAGACAATGTTTAACAATTTCTCAGAAGATAATTCAAACCGTTTTGTTCCTAGGAGAGACGGGCGACTGGAAGGTCAGTTTGACGCCAGAATTGGAGGCTAAAGTGGACACTTGGATCGCCAAAAACGTAAACGATGTTGACATCAGCTTCAAATATTCAATTTAATCAACAGAAGCTTGCAGTGTTGATCCTCCAGGGAAAGTGTGAAGTGTGGTTCCCCATCCCTGTAAACAATCTACCGAGCCACCAGGGACAATCTGGGGTTTGGCTCCTGGTCCAAGGGAGCAGAATTAGTTAAAAGGGGCATCCCTGGCCTGTTTCCTGGTTCCTCTAAGCACACCGAGTTCCGTCCGTCCAGCTAAAACTATCAACAATTTCTCATTTACTATTCTACGCAAATTTCTGAAGACATATTATTACCTCCCTCTTTTAGTTTTTCATCCCATTAATCCATTATTAGTGGAGAAAAATGTTCTAGTAAGCAATCACCTTCATTTTTCTTTAAATCAGTGCCCTCTTTTCCCAGTTAAAATTAAAAGAGTTTAACTATTCTTATGCATTCAGCGCTGCATTACACTTTTGAGTTTAGCGCATAGTTATGATTATAATAATAATCTTATATATTATCCCATGTATTTTCATGTCATGTATTTGTGATATGCCATGTTTGTGACTATGGATGTACATACAGTGTACACGGTACACGTGTGCGCAGTGTTTAAGCTCCTGTGTACAGTGGTGAAAACTGCTTACAGTCCATGGTGCTGAATGATAGGTGACAGACTGGAGACGCATCTCATTCCACTCTAGTACAATAGCATGCAGAGTGGTGGTGGAATGCAACAAGAGTGGTGGTGCAACCTTGTACTCAACAAGAAGGAACAGGTTGTGCAGGATGTGCCAGTCACACTGTGATGCCTTAAATGTCTGTCTCTGTCTGTCTGTCTGTCTGTCTCTCTCTCTCTGTCTCTCTCTCTCTCTCTCTCTCTCTCTCTCCCCCTCTCTCTCCCTCTCTCTCTCTCTCTCTCTCGTGTGTAATAATAACCTCTATTGCTATCTTTTCTTATGCAATATATGCATTGAACGTTTTTTCTTCTCTTTCCTAGATTACTGCGTTCTTCCTGAGACTGATTTAGAAGAGACTTTCCTCAAAATATACGTGAGAAGTTGCTTTATCTATAAGTGGCTTATATAAGGCTGGAATGTTGGACTTATCAGCTGAGGAGCGCCATTGTTTACCAGTTACTTGCTGTAGCTCGAGTGCTTTTGTTATTTCGTAATTAACAGCCAGATCTGCTGTGTATAGAATATGTAATTCTGTATGATCAGTTAGATATTCCTATATGTCTAAAGTTATATAGTGTATCAAATGGTTGTGTATTAGTGGATCTCATCTCTTGGTGGTAGATAGATCAGAGAATTTTGTCTCAAACATTAATTTGTATGCAGCCTCTTTGAAAACACTCCCGGATAATATTTAATAGTGCCTACAACAATCTCTCTCCTCTACATTGAACTTAAGAGTAACCCAATAAATTCTTTCCCACAGCTTCTCTGTCTTTGAAGGTGACGATTTTGTCAGAGATTATGAACCTAAGTTGTCTAAAGGATAAGAAATTTTGTTCTCTGCAACCATGAAACAAATAATGTAAAGAAATTAAGATCGTGCAAAAACACACAGTATGTTGATGGCTGGGTGGGTCCATAGGTAGGTGGGTTCATAGGTAGGTGGGTTCATAGGTAGGTGGGTCCATAGGTAGGTGGGTTCATAGGTGGGACCATGGGTTGGTGGGTCCATAGGTAGGTGGGTCCATAGGTAGGTGGGTCCATAGGTAGGTGGGTCCATGGATTGGTGGGGTGTATGGGTGTGAAAGTATGTGTAGGTGGGTGGGTGTGCGTGTGTGTGGGTTCACTCGCCTTATTGTACTCACTTGTGGTTGCAGGGGCCAATTCACAGCTCCTGGTCCCGCCTCTTTGTTGGTAGCTACTAGGTCCACTTGTCTCCCTGCTCCATGAGCTTCATTGTATCTTTTCTTAAAGCTGTGTATAGATTCTGCCTCTATTACATCACTCTCCAGGTTGTTCCACTTCCTGACAACTCTGAAGAAATAATTCCTAATATCCCTGTGACTCGTCCGAGTTCTCTGTCCATTCCTTTCATCTCTTCGAATTTCCACTGGATTTTGATAATCAGTGCAACTCTCTCCACCCCCTCTGTTCTATCAGGATCTGATATCCAGACAGAAAGATCGCATCTGTTATCGAGAGCTTTGTTTCCGTGAGCGCTATAATGTCTGGGGATGCCTTCGTGATTCGTGCCATTCTTCACATTTATTTGTTATTCTGTCTGTCATACTTTCAGCCTCTTTTCCACTACTGTGTTCTGGGGAGTTTGTGGGGGGGGGGGAGCGAGGTAAGTGGGAGACCTAGCAGGATACTCTAGGAGGCTGGTGGGAAGGTAGAGTTTGTGATGGGGGGGAGGGGTGAGAGTTTTTTGAGTTTAGTTACGGTGGGGTTGTCGGGATTAAGGATATTCTATGGGTGGCTCTGAAGGAGGTTATGTTTGCTGACCCTCCTAAGTGTGTGTGTGTGTGTGTGTGTTTGTTTTGCGCATGCTTATGTGGCTCAACACAGTGTACCTTGGAGGATTATCAGCAGTGTTCGGCTGGGTGGCGTTGGAAGCAGACTACCAACAAGTCAGTCAGCCAGTAAGTGCAATACTTTTGTATACGCTAAGTTTGTTATCTTGTTTTCCTGTATCATTAAATATTTACATTGGCTAGAATAAGTCATTATCGATGTTCTGTAAGTATACCACAAACAGAAAAAGCCCCAAGACGGTTCCTTAAGGTACAACAGTTGCTAAGTGTAGCATTACTAATGTTCCTTTTTGCTTACATCTATGTGACCAACGTCGCAAGTAACATATGTATTCCTTTCTGAAAGCTTCCGAAATGTAGGTACATCATATTTACCACCTTTGTTTTCATCCTACTCATATATATTTTGTATAAAAATGATAATCTAAACATATTTCACATGAAATTTTATAGACAGTGTTAAAAATATTTGATTATTGATAAAGCTCTAGATGTTATGTTGTTGAATTTAAATTATTCTTGAGCAATTATCTGGGACGCTACTTGGTGTTCCACTCATCTACAACTCTACTAACCAGTGTTTTCCTGTATCCTGTCCTTATGCAGATTATCGTTTAGGTTATAGTGGTGTGTGTTGTAGGTGATGGTGTGTTGGAGGTAGTGGTGAGTTGTTATGATGTTGGTTTGTGAGAGTGGTGTTTGTGGTGGAAAAGTTGATTGGTCGTGTATATTATGGTGGTACTGAGGATATGTGGTGATGGTTGCGAAGGTGGTGTGGTGGTGGTGAGAATGGTGATTAGTAAGGTGGTAGTTGAGAATGACGACGTTGTTAGATGTGACTGTGGTGGTTGTAGTAATTGTGGTTGTCATTGTTGGGTTGTGGAATTGTTCATTCAAGCAAACCGGCTTCCTCTGAACGAATTTGTTTGGAATTCCTCCTTTTTCTGCAACATTTGGAGGATCCTGATGTGTTGATTGCAACACGAAAGGCCTAGAGTACTGTAAATCATAAGGGGAAGACATATCAATAATTATTTTAAATTTTCCTTAATTATTGTTCATTATAAAACTGAAGTTATGTACAGCCTTTATGAGCAGTTAGGCTGGTTAATGATCTTTAAGCCTATCGACAATTCGATGGGTCTGCATGTCACCTGTTTAGGCATATAAAAACTACCAGCATTTTGTCATCTGTCTTTAGGTGCATCATGTCATTAACTGCCAGCGGCCACAAGTGCGTCGTGGAGAAAGAGACGGATAAGATGAAGAAGGACTGGGTCGGCTACCCGAAAGGCCTCGTCAGGGTTACCCCCGGCAGGTGGTTATTCACGGCAGCATACACAAAATTTGCTGATAAATATTACAACTTCAAGGTAAATAAAATCTATTTTAAGGTAAAATAATTACAGTATCAAATCTGACAATCTTCCCAGTACCACACAGGCGAAACTAATGGACAAATATGATGCAACGGAGAGACTTGTTTGCTTTATGCTCAGCAAGGCAGATGACTGCAACATTCCTTTCACTAATTATGAACTTGATGCAGCACTAACTAAGGGCAACTCCACGTCGTCTGGTGAGGACGGTATTACTTACAACATACTCAGATTGCTGTGTCGAGTACCAGGTAATCCTTTACTTGAATTATATAACAAGAGTTATGTCACTGGGAGCTCCCTAAATCATGGACCAATAGCCTCATTATTCCCATTCCGAAGCCCAATCAACAAAACTCATTTTGCCCAATATCCCTTAATAGCTGCTTGTGTAAAACATTCGAAAGGATGATTCTTAATCGTCTTATGCACAGAATTAAGCAATTCTTGTCTCCCCGGTTGCATGGCTTCCTGCATGGAAGGAGTGTGCATCATTGCATTACCACCTTTCTCACTCTGCACACTGGCAGCTCATACATTACCTTCCTTGACCTTAAATCCGCTTTTGATGTAGCCAACCGACATGTAATCATTAGTGAACTTGCCAGAATGAATGTTGGAGGATGGCTTCTCCAACAGAAAGTCGTCTGTGTTGTTCCAGGGACACAGAAGTGTAACTAAAGATTTTGAATTAGGAACCCCACAGGGAGGTGTGCTTAGTCCCACCCTTTTCAATATTCTAATTAATGCCTTACTTAATGCTATGCCTAGCCAGCCTCATCATTATATGATTAGTTTTGCTGATGATATAATGATTCACACCACCGGATTCTCCAACACCCAAAACATTCTTAATCATGTACTAGCCTCGTGTCAGGACCTGGGGTTGATAATCTCTACTGATAAAACAAAGATACTCAACAGGCGTCCTCCTCGACAGAGAGGCACAGTTCGTCAGATCCAGTTGCATGATGGGTCTCTTTTAGAATATGTAAGCAGATACAGGTATCTAGGCTTTGAGGTTCCACTACTTGGACCTGTTGTAACGAGACTTTATCGCCAATACAAAGAAAGGCTGAGGGCACTTAGAGTTGTGGCTGGTTTTCATCCCAGGTATGGAGCTAATGTTAAAATTGTGAAAATAATGTATCTTGCTTATATTAGATCATTGGTTGATTATGCGGCGCCACTACTTGCACTCGTGTCTGACTGGAAGCTTGGAGGGCTGGAAAAACTGCAAAACGAAGCAATGAGGATCATCCTAGGATGCCCTCGTACTGCCAAAATTTTTAATATGCGGAAAAAACCTAATATTCCAAGCATTTTTCGATCCAGATGGATCGAAAAAATTGGAACCGACCTCTGCATGAACCAGCTACATGATCCATGTCGAGTTAGGCAACAGACATACTTCCCTGCTCCATGGGATATTACCCCATTCCAAGCTACCATTCCTCCATTTCCCCCCAAAACTCTTCTTAAATCACAACCAAAGCTTCGTCTTGAAGCCAAACATGATGCCTTAAGCTGTATTGATAACTTAGTCACACAGAACACTCTTTCACAAATTATTTACGTTGATGGTTCTGTTCACCAGTCCACTGGTGCAGCTGGTAGTGCTGATGTTGTCATACAGAGTGATGGCTCTCGTAAAGAAATTGGAGCACGCATCAATAACTGGGCCTCTACCCTTCAAACAGAACTGTTTGCCATACTCCTTGCACTCAAATGCGTCCATGTATCTAAGGTTGACACTTTAATTGTAACTGATTATCTGTCATCCATAAATGCTCTCAACTCATTAAGTATAAATTGTGGCATACTTGTGTCAGAAGCCAGACATAGGTATGGTAAGATTGTGGACAGTGGAGTCAAAGTGCACATGCTGTGGATTCCATCTCACATTGGTCTTCAGATGCATGATAGAACTGATAAATTGGCTAAGCTGTATGCTTTCAAAGAGGAAGTAGATTACAATCTTGGGTTGTCAGTTAGCAGTTTGAGAACAATAATACGAAAAGAACTTCAGTTGAACTTTATTGACTTAAGACTTAGGGAAATTGACACAAGTCAGTCCATCTATCATCATTCCATCATGCAGGAGGAGCCACATGTCTATGGTGTATTCAACAAGATAAGCAGACTCTTGGATGTCACTACCGCCCGGCTCCGGTTGGGTTACAAGTATCTATGGCAGGTTAAATCACCACCACCAAATGTAAACCAAACGAAATGTAAACTTTGCTAGATGGACTATTGTCACACCTTGCGTCATTATGTACTGGAGTGCGATCAAAGTAATGAATTTAGAGACAACTCACTCAGAAATGTTCAAGAAATGGCGAAGTATTTTATCCACAGTGGTATATTACAGACTATTCTGGAGAAATACCCTGACTTTGCTAGTTGTAAATAAAGCATTACCACGTTGTGTGTGTGTGTGTGTGTGTTTAGTTACCATTTTGTCCTAGGCACATGTCGATTAGACACTAGGCCTGTTGTTAGTTACAATTTTTGTCTTAGGCACATGTCGATTAGACACTAGGCCTGTTGTATATGAGTACGTGTGTGTGTGTGTGTGTGTGAGAGAGAGGGAGAGAGAGAGAGAGAATGATGGTGGTGTAGTACAGCCAAGATGGACGCTTCTCAGCTCTCTCATAACAACAGCAAATTACACACTCCAATTGTTCACAGTCATGCGAGCAAGAGACATGTGTGAAGGTTAACCAGTGTTGCTGCTGTCACCAGTGTTACTGCTACCTACGAGTGTTGCTCCTGTCACCAGTGTTACTGCTGTCACCAGTGTTACTGCTGTCACCAGTGTTACTGCTGCCTACGAGTGTTGCTCCTGTCACCAGTGTTACTGCTGTCACCAGTGTTACTGCTGCCTACGAGTGTTGCTCCTGTCACCAGTGTTACTGCTGCCTACGAGTGTTGCTCCTGTTACCAGTGTTACTGCTGCCTACGAGTGTTGCTGCTGTCACCAGTGTTGCTGCTGCCTACGAGTGTTGCTGCTGTCACCAGTGTTGCTGCTGCCTACGAGTGTTGCTCCTGTCACCAGTGTTACTGCTGTCACCAGTGTTACTGCTGCCTACGAGTGTTGCTCCTGTCACCAGTGTTGCTGCTGCGTACGAGTGTTGCTGCTGTCACCAGTGTTGCTGCTGCCTACGAGTGTTGCTGCTGTCACCAGTGTTGCTGCTGTCACCAGTGTTGCTGCTGTCACGAGTGTTGCTGCTGCCTACGAGTGTTGCTGCTGTCACCAGTGTTGCTGCTGTCACCAGTGTTGCTGCTGTCACCAGTGTTGCTGCTGTCACCAGTGTTGCTGCTGCCTACGAGTGTTGCTGCTGTCACCAGTGTTGCTGCTGTCACCAGTGTTGCTGCTGTCACCAGTGTTGCTGCTGTCACCAGTGTTGCTGCTGTCACCAGTGTTGCTGCTGCCTACGAGTGTTGCTGCTGTCACCAGTGTTGCTGCTGTCACCAGTGTTGCTGCTGTCACCAGTGTTGCTGCTGTCACCAGTGTTGCTGCTGCCTACGAGTGTTGCTCCTGTTACCAGTGTTGCTGCTGCCTACGAGTGTTGCTGCTGCCTACGAGTGTTGCTGCTGCCTACGAGTGTTGCTGCTGCCTACGAGTGTTGCTGCTGTCACCAGTGTTGCTGCTGCCTACGAGTGTTGCTGCTGTCACCAGTGTTGCTGCTGCCTACGAGTGTTGCTGCTGTCACCAGTGTTGCTGCTGCCTACGAGTGTTGCTGCTGTCACCAGTGTTACTGCTGCCTACGAGTGTTGCTGCTGTCACGAGTGTTGCTGCTGCCTACGAGTGTTGCTGCTGTCACCAGTTTTGCTGCTGTCACCAGTGTTGCTGCTGCCTACGAGTGTTGCTGCTGTCACCAGTGTTGCTGCTGCCTACGAGTGTTGCTGCTGTCACCAGTGTTGCTGCTGCCTACGAGTGTTCCTGCTGTCACCAGTGTTGCTGCTGCCTACGAGTGTTGCTGCTGTCACCAGTGTTGCTGCTGCCTACGAGTGTTGCTGCTGTCACCAGTGTTGCTGCTGCCTACGAGTGTTGCTGCTGCCTACGAGTGTTGCTGCTGTCACCAGTGTTACTGCTGAAGCCAACAAAATCTTCGAGGCCTCTCAACAACCTTCATATCAAAAGGCAATTCTGAATATATCTTCCAGAGCGAACGTTTACAAGTAGTGTGAGAGCATCTCTCACAGCCTGGCCAACCAGATCCCATGGAAGGTGGTGTAGTCAGAGACAGAGTCGCAGGGGCGATGACTCCACGATTATTATAACAATATTCTTTATTTCTACAAGTACATGATACAACTTGTGTGTGTGTGTGTGTGTGTGTGTGTGTGTACTCACCTATATGTGGTTGCAGGGGTCGTGATAGCTCCTAGCCCCGCCTCTTCACTGGTCGATACTAATTCACTCTCTCCCTGCTCCATGATATTTGTCATACCTCTTCTTAAAGCTATTATGGACTTGCATCTTCACGATGTCTAAACGCCAATCTCAGGTTTGCCAATCTCCCATATGCTGCAGCAGTTATTTGATTGATGTGTGCCTCAGGGGACATGTTCGTTATAATGCTTACCCCAAGATCCTTTTCTTTAACTGGCGTTTGCAGCTGTTGGTTTCCTAACCTGTACTCCGTCTGCGGTCTTCTGTGTCCTTCCCCAATCTTCATGACCTTACACTTACTGGGGTTAAACTCCAGGAGCCATTTGTCGGACCATACTTGTAGTTTGTCCAGATCCCCTTGTAATCTTAACTGATCCTCTCCCACTTGTATTCTCCTCATCAGTTTCACGTCATCAGCGAACAGTGACACTTCTGAATCTATTCCTTCCACCATGTCATTCACGTATACAAGAAACAGCACCGGGCCTAGGACTGAACCTTGTGGAACCCCACTCGACACATTCGCCCACTCCGACACTTCAGCACGTACCAACACACGTAGTTTCCTTCCTGTCAGGTATTCCCTGATCCA